CTGATTTAAATTACAACAATGAAGTGTCATAAAAATTAATCTGTATGAATGCTTAACGATATTAATTTAATAAGATTGGTAAAAAATTTTTTTCATTAAATGTTAATCACGACCTAAATAACATGGTTTTAATTCAAGAATTAACCAATCAAGAAAAACCAATTACTGTATTTGAGTAGAGATAAAATGATATGTTATTCACTACACACCTGTTGAGATCATGAGGAGTATAATGATACCATGAGAATTGCTTTTAATTTAGAAGTGTGTACCTCAATGTAGATTACAAAACATTTTTTGTCTTAAAGTAAATCTTTAATTAATTTAAAATTTAAAAATGCACTTAGTCTGTATTATATTTTCAATGCGTTCTTTTTAATTCTTATAGTCAGTAGATATCTATTAAAATCATTCAACTAGTATGTAAACTAATTTATTTTATTTTTAAATTTAATTAAACCAAATTATTTATCTAATGGTTCCATACCTTGTATCCCATATTATTTGATTTATGCTATCTAAATACACTTTTTTATACCAAACACTTCAGGCAATTTTAAAAAGATATCTTCGCCGTATCATCCATAAGCCGTTTAAAGTAGGCAACATAGGGGCAAGCGTTAACACTTGCCACTGCGTCTCTACAACACATTTAAGATTCGTAGAAGTTACTGGTAGCAGAAATTTACATGCGCAGCACATATACGAAGGCCGCTATCATGGACATTTCTTCTGCTATCGTTTTTTTTACAGCACTACGTATGTATCCATTAGGAGCTGCGCTAAGTTCTTTTCATTTCGTGGAATTAGTGACCAGTGTCGACGATTGTTATCAGTTAAATATGCGTATGATGTTACTGGTATTTATATAATTTTAATATTTGCTTTGGCCTTTGTGGCATACATAATATTTTAACTGTGGAGTATGGAGTGTTATCTTCACTGCCGTTGTCCGTCTACTGAATTTTTTGGGCGTTCTCTGCATTAATTGGTCAATAGAATTATTAAGAAATTTAAATATTTTCACAACTTTTCTTTTTATTTGTTTGTTTGTGTATATTTTATGGCAATTTAAAAAACAAACGTTCTACCGCGTGTCTACCAAGAATTTTGAATCGGCCTTTCTAGCGCATGCGTCCGCATTGGTACGAGCTGGCATGCATTCCTTAGGTTCTTTATTTATGCTTCAGCATTCATTATTCTGATTATTATTATTATTTTTATTAGTGTTTTTGTTTTTTCGAATATTTTTCTTTTTTCAAAAAGTGTTGACATTTGCAGCACAAGTTGCATTTTAATTTATTAAAAATTAATAAATAACCACAATTTAAGTGATAAAAGCCATAATTTTGTTGCGGTGACATGTTTATGCTGCGTTTGCTGTGTGCTGTTTGTGGTAATGTATGCGTGTATGCGTGTATTCTCAACTTGTCAACTTGTTGCATTCAAAAGCATTTTTTGGCTGATGTGCCTCATTACAATTCGTGGTGTGTGGATAATTGTTTTTGATTGCTTTGGTTGTGATGTGCAAGAGACTAGGTTGTGGCGCAACATTGTTGAATATTATCATGCACAGCCTTAAGGCTATTTTAGTTCCTTTGTAGTTGATTCTTGGAAAGTTTCTTGAATGAGGTTAAATAATATTGTGGTCAAATATAATGTAGTTACGGATGTTATTGCAACTTTGCATCCTGATAAGAACGTTTTGAGTTTTTTTTTATCTAAATATATATTCGCATACTATGAATACAACTATCATTAAAAATTATATCATACAATGTTGAAAGAGTTGACGTACATAAAATAAATTCTGTAAATTATGTGATTTATGTTACACAAACATTTACTGATATAATAATTAACATAATTACACTTTTTTCAAATTATTTAAGGCTGATTTAATATTGTTAAAGTGTATTGAAGACTGAAGAGTTATATTTAATTGCATAAGATATTTATATAAGTTCGAGTTTAAAAAAGAAGTACTTTGAACTTTACTTCCTTTCTGGTTCCTTTAAAACATAATTATCAAAATATCATCTGAAAATTCAGTACATTTTTCTTTAAACCTTCAACTCTTTGTTACATAAAGTCCATTCTATAAAGAGTATTATTTTTATAAATTTTTTGAATCGATTACATGACATGATAATTAATTAAATTGATTTTATTTTCACCCCTAACATTTGTATTTGTAAAGACAAATACTTAATTTCATTTTTCTTTTTCCTGTGATTAGAATAAGAAAGAACAGGGTATTAGCTCCCATTTGAGCAGAGCACCGCGATCATGATTGATCTTTTGTGCTACAACAGACCCTAACTGAACAAAAGACATTCCGCCTTTCGAATGAAGGCCAGAATGTCGGTTGATTGAGGACCTCCTAATGTCGGAAGGTGCTAGTAGTTCCCGACCCAGTGATCTCCTCCTGGCCCAGATCAAAGCTGGGAAGTCACATAGAATATGGCTGGTTGTCTCCTCTGCCTCCAAGCAGAGTCTACAATCTATCTCTTCGGATAGGCCCATTTTGTTGAGGTGGTAACGTAGCCCATGGTGACCCGTTAGATATCCCACTAGCAACCTCAACTCTGTTCTGCTAAAGGAGGATATCTTATTATAACTATAGGGGAGAACTAGCTCTTTAGCCTGACGGTTATCTCGATTGTCGCGCCAGTAGCGACTTCTTTCGGTTGAGATCCAGTTATTGATTAGAGACCTAGTTGTAGACCAACTTAATCCACAAAAAGGTTCTGGGCCACAGATTAGAGTGGCAGATCCTGCCCGTGCAAGACTATCGGCAGACTCATTACCATTAATTCCTGTGTGACCAGGCACCCAGCACAGTATCACTTTATTATTGCTTGCCAGCTGCTGCAGTGTGTCATAGCAGTCTGCTAGAAGTTTTGAGTAAAACTTCCAGGAGCATAACAGGATTCGGGCGCCTTTCAACCCCTTGTTAATGTTGATACGAGCGCAGACCTCGATGGCGTGAACCTGAGCTTGGAAGACAGTGGGCCATATACCCAGCGCGAGCGAGATTCTGGTGTTTGGACCAGATTACTGGAATGAAATCTTAGCTAAATGACTTACAAGTCTGATGGCAGATGTCCTCTTGACTTTAGCTTTAGTGAGAATAAAAAAGTAATAGAAATGTAAAGTTATCATTGTGGGTTTGAATTTAAAAAAAAAAAATTTTTATATTCTTTGCAAAGACACAGCATAAATCCATTTTTAAGCAAAACTGAGTCTGTGATTATTTCTGAACGAAACTTTTTTAGTACACTAAACAGTTGGGTTATATAAAAGAGGTTTTTTTAGTAAAATAAAAGAGATGGGTTTTACGAAAAAAAAAACTGTTTTTCAGTTTCTAAGCTCTTTAGAGCTTAGTATTGGCTTAAGAATTAAAACGTTTATGTCTTATGAGCTATTATTTCTTATGATAGAACATTTTCATAATGATGGAACATTGACATGATTAAGTTATATCTGAAGAGCTTAGACCATTTTGCGTACAGATTTTAGGTTAAAGAATTTTTAAATAATGTTAAATGCATATTTCAAAGTTTATTTATACATTACAATTATTTTGTATGTGATAATCGTTTACAATTTGCTATTATTTTTTATATTTTATAAAAACTTAACGCCACGTTCTGTTTAAACACATGCATTTTCTAAACAATTTTCAAATCTATTTTTATAATTCTAACGTGTCTTCCTTAAATTTTTTGAATCGAAACTATAAAAAAAAACTACTCAACTTTCTGGTGATCCTGTTTCACCTCCACCTATTGGTAAAAAAGTAATTGACGTTGTCTTCTACAACGTTATTAAAGGACAGCTTCTTAGGTCCTATGTCGACAAAGAAGTACTAGTAAAAACATTTAATTTTTGAAAAATGAATATCGATCAGCTAGCTCTACACTTTCTATTTATTACAAAATTGTTATATATTGTATTTTATAGGAAAGCTCTTTACAATTCAAACCATAACAAATGTAAATGTTGAGAGCTATATATATATTAAGCAGTATGAGCTATATAATAAATATCGAGCGACTGTGTTTTATAAAATGGTAAAATGTTGTTATTACGTATTACGATCCGGAGACTGCGGATAATTGTTTTTAAAACTAAGTTGCAATGCCGAAATGATGAATGTTATTATACGTAGCCCAAAGCTATTTTAGTTCCTTTGTAGTTGATTCTTGGAAAGTGGTTTAAATTAGGTTAAATAATGTTGCGGTAAAATGTAAATACGGGTATTATTATATTAATTTAATATCCTCATAAGAGCGTTGTGATTTTTTCATTTTATAAACACGCATTTACTTACGTGAATGATAATGCATTCATAAAATATTGACTTTTGCCGTATTTTCACATATTTTTACAATAAGTTTAATTATGTTGCAGAAAAAATAATTCTATGCAAATTGTTTTAGATTAATCTCATTCTAATGAATAAAACGCTGGTATTCATTTTTCGTATAGTTTCTATATACTCTAGTAATAAATAATGTAAATTTCTATTTTCAATACATAGTAACAAAGAGTTATATTTCAGAAAAAAAATATTTAGGCAAAATACTTTCCATAGAACAACAGTTCATTTAATTAACATAGGTTAAGTTTTATACTAATTTTTATTTTTTTAATTATCCTTTTCCTTGATAGCTAATATATCCTTTTCTATTACTTTTTTCACAAAACCTCTGTTTTCCATTATTATTTTCTTAATAGGCATTTTCCTATAATTCTCCAAAAATGGTAAATGAATGGTAAAAAAGAGGTACAAAACATCATAAAAGGAGAAAGTTAAGATACAACAAATAAAAAAAGAAAAGTTTCAATACTTTGCTTAGGAAATAAATTAAAACAAAAAAATTAAAAATATGAAAGGAAAAAACAATCAAATACAAAAAAAAAGAAAAATTTCAATACTTTCCTTAGGAAATAAATTAAAATAAAAAAAACTAATATAAGATAATACAAGAAAAAAAAGTCAATATGTAAGATTTTCTATAATTTTTTTTTATTATTAAAGCTTTTTTCTTATCACAATTCACTTAAAAACTATTAAAAATTGTATAAGTTCCTTAAAACTAGTGGAAGAACGATGATTTAAATGTCAGAAATCACCCCATCTGCTGCAGTTTATGCTGCTACATGAAAGTATCACAATCGTTGAACATATTAAAGCTTCTTTATATTTAGTTTTTCTCTCAATGTCTAAAGCGAGGAAGGCGGGCTTCTTTACTGGTATCAAATCAAGCTTGTGCCCAACGATCCTGAAACTGCATATGCGGAAATTGACAGTTACTATAGCAGAAAGCTGGCTGCAACAAATCTTCATCAGCGGCTGGTATAATTGTACTGGTAACTGGCAGCAAATTGGTGGTCCAGAAGAAAGTACCGGCATCGGTGCGTGCAAAACGTACAGGCACATAGATGTCTTGTTCTTCGGCAACTGCTAAATCGGCTAACTTTTCATTTACGGTATTGTCAACAATTTCTTCATAGAAATGTTGCTCTATTTCGTAGTTCCGTTGATTTTGAAGCGACTCTAATGATTCAAGAGAGTTTGAAAGTTTTTTCTGTTGTTTCTTGAAGAGTGTCTTCAAAACTTTTTTAATACTGTAGCTTGGCTTCATCTTGTTGTTATTGTTTGAGTTAATTTTGGCTTGTACTTGCTGGCACATTCTTGAATATTTTCTTTTCTGAGAATAAATTAGAAATGAAGACTGAATTTATGTTGCTTGGATCGAAAACGATTTCAGAATGATTTCGAAACTGTAGGAAACGGCCTTTTATACTTGCTGCACATACTTCAGCTCGATACGCAATACAATACGTTTCCTTTGAGGAAAAGGCGAAAGAGACTATAAAAACAAAATAAAAAATTATTATGTGAAATATAAAAAAGAGAGGAATTAAACACGCACAAGTGTGCCTCGCCCTTTGCTGTATAAGCACGTTTAATGCGACGTGCAACAACATAACAACCACAACTATACAGAAGACATGGGGCAGAAGACTACAAAATCCGATAAGAAGGCACTGACTCAGTGAGCAGGTAATAAAAATGGTGTAATTGTTGTTGGTGCTGCCCGATAGTGCATGATCGAGTGTATGTAGTGGAATTTTAAAGTAAATATAAGGGTCGAGGGTGTATATATATGCGTTAAGTTGTATATTTGATATGGTATACATTGGTACCCCTGTAGAATTATGCTGCAGTTAAAGTGTGGGAAAATGTTTCCAAATTTTATTATTTTTTGTTTCCGAAAATACCGATACGTATGATGGACATAAAGACAGTTGTAGTAAAAAGGAAAAGGGAAAAGAAATATATTCAAGTGTTATGGCAATTTATTTTACTCTTCCTTGTATCGAATGCTTGTAAAAACCTATAAGAAAAAAAAGGCAGGTGTTCCTAATAAAATTTTCTCATGGAATTGCTACCATACGGAAAAGGAATTATGCACTTTTTTTAAATTTCTGTAGATTTAAGTCTCGTTTTATTTAAGGACTGTGATACTCGATAAGCAAAGCCTGATTTGCAATTTGAGATCTAAATTGTTTAATATATATCAGAGCGCTTTTAAGGAGCTATTGGTTTTGTATTTCTTTTTACTTTTTATAGGAACTTCAGGATAAAATACATAATTTCAATTTCAGTATCGTGGGAAACACAATTTCGTAGGCATTCCCACGCATTAAGGTGTTTTTTTCTGTTATCCTGCCAGTAAGAAGTAATAACAATACGAATATGGTGTAACACACAAAGATCGGCAGAACGATCGTTGGTTTAGAGCAATCAATTTAACGCAGTGAATTTGTTGTATGCTAACGAAATTATCCTTTAACATTATTGAGGCGAAGAATGTATGAAAAGAGCATTGCACTAATAAAATAAGCGTGTTGTTATTATTATTTCAAACAGGATAATAGTCTTTCATAACGAGTCCTTATAATTTGTTTGCATTTGTTTGAGTAATTCCCATGCTTTCTACATATATTGTTAAATTTGGTGTATTTTGGATTGTGATGTTATTGTTATTTTGTATGTCAATTTGATAACATATAGCTGAAGTAATAATTCCTTATCATCCTTGTTTTAAAATTCTCATGCAGTAGTTTTGTTTATAATTATTCGAGGTTTTTGCTTTGTATGTTTTTGCTTTCTTAGGTTCATGCACTTTGTTCTGTTTTGCTTTTGCCTTTGGCGTTTCAGGTTTCATCAATGGATTTACATGTGACTTGAAGTTGTTGTGTAAACTCACACTTAATTTATTATCGAAGTCTTGTGATGTTGTTGCCAGCATGAGGTGAGTTGTTCTCCAGTGTTTAATGGGCTTCAGAGTTGCGTGTGTGTGAAGTGTGCTTTTGAATCTTTTGTGTGGCACACTGTAGCTACTGTTAGAGAGTGCCTGTCATGGGGCATGTAATTAAGCCATATTTGCCAGCGAAGCATTTTAATATTTATTTTTATAATAAATTTATGAGGAAAAAATAAATTCTAATAATTAGTTTATTTTCTTATGGTATTACCACCACTAGTGCTCCCCAGCAATGTTTACTTAAATTGCGGAGGAAATTTGAAGGTTTTAAAATTATATAGTAAATATTATGCTAATATTATGAACTGTGGTGTTATAAGATTAAAACCTGTGTGATGAATTTTAGGGATAGAGATATTTTTAGCATAGAGATATTTTAATGATTCTAAAAATGGCTAATCGAGTAAGAAGGGAAACTTCATGTGGCACAACCTTAAGTATTAGATATTAGCATTTTATTGCTAAAAAGATTAAGAAGATTATCGCACATTATGTTAAAGTACTTATTGGAACAATTTATTTATCTGCTAACAAATTTTGTAGTTAATTATAGTTAAGCTAAATATAAGTTTGAAAATATACGTAGTTGTATAAAAAGTGCTGCGTTTAGGTTCGATGGTCTTCGTCTAAAAAAAATAATATGTCATAATAAATAAAAGGACACCTGGGATAGAACCCCCAAAATCATATAGGTAGATGACAAAGTTACAGGTATGATGTATTTACACAATCTTGTACAGTCCATAAGATAAGAATAAGATAAGAATGAACGTGGTACTAGCTTCTACTTGAGCAGAGCACTGCAACCATGATTGATCTTTTGTGCTACAACAGACTCTAACCGAACAGAAGACATTCTGCCTTCCGAATGAAGGCTAAAATATCGGTCGTTGAGGACCTCCTAATGTCAAAAGGTGAGAGTAGTTTCCGATCCAGTGACCTCCTCCTGGCCCAGATCAAGGCTGAGCAGTCACATAGAATGTGACTGGATGTCTCCTCTGCTTCTCTATCAAACTCTATCTGTTTGGATACACCCATTTTGTTGAGGTGGTAACGTAGTCCGTGGTGACCCGTTAGATATCCCACTAGCAATCTTAACTCTGTTCTGCTGAAAAAGGATGTCTTATTATAACTATAGGAGTGAGCCAGCTCTTTAGCCTGACGGTTATCTCGACTGTGGCGCCAGTAGCGACTTCTCTCGGTTGAAATCCAATTATTGATTAGAGACCTAGTTGTAGACCAACTTAGATTTGAGTGGCAGATCCTGCCCGTGCAAGACTATCGGCAGACTCATTACCATTGATTCATGTGTGATCAGGCACCCAGTATAGCGTCACTTTATTATTACTTGCCAGCTGCTGCAGCGTGTCATAGCAGTCTAATAGAAGCTTTGAGAAAAACTTCCAGGAGCTTAATGCTTTGATTGTTACTTGACTGTCTGAATACATACAGATTCGGGCGCCTTTCAACCCATTGTTAATGTTGATACGAGTGCAGACCTCAATAGCGTGAACCTCTGCTTGAAACACAGTGGGCCATATACCCAGTGTGAGCGAGATTCTGGTGTTAGGACTAAATATTTCAACAGCAACTCCCTCTTTGGTTTGTACAGTACATAAACAGACAACTTATTTTAATATTATTGTTAATAAAAGTTTGATTGAATAGTAAACATTGGCGTAACTACAGGGAAGCAATTGGAAGCAACGCTTTCGGGCCCCCGAATTTAGGGGGCCCCACTATAAATTTTTGTATTCATTGTATTTATTTTTAATAAATTCTCAAAAGTGGGACGAAACGTTTTTGTTGGAATAACTTCATATTGCATTTTTTAAAAGATACGTAAATTTTAAATTTAAAGTACATAATATGTATGTACTTCAAATAAAATATTAAACCTATTTATAAAATAAAAAAGTTTTTCTAAGAAAAATATGTGTCTTAATCGAGAGTTTATATGGAAGCTATATCTAGATTAAAACCCATTTGAAAATAATTTTGTACGTTGTCTTTTGCAAATATCAGTACTGTATACACCAAATTCCATTTGAATACCTTTATTAAAAACGGAGAAACCTCATATCCGATTGTTAAGTTTATATCACAGCTACAAGAAATAGACGTCCAATTTCAATCAAATCAAATGGTGAACAGGGTTGGCTCCCGAAAAGTATGTGTGTAAAGTTTCATTCGAAGAGTTCAAAAGCTGAGAGAGTAGTTTGAACTGAAAAAGTATATATATATATTGTACTGATATATACTTAATGGTATTTCCGACGTTTTCTTTAATGCGTTACAAAAATCTTGACAAACCTTATATACCCTTTTCACATTTTTTCGTGTAAAGAGTATAAAAAGAGGGGCCCCATAGTATGTTGGTAGGGGCCCCTTAGTTAGAATTTGCTTACAGGCCTAAAAAATGTAGTTACGCCACTGATAGTAAATAAAGTTTTTTTTTGTTTAAGTCTTTATAAATGATTTTCAATAAAAAATTTGTATCACGGTTCAAGACAGTAGAACTAAACTACAGGGCAATAGCTGCGCCGTTTATATACGTTAGCAAAAAATGCAACTTTAACGTACACTTATTTTTTTTTTATAGCTAGTTTTATAAAATATTAAAATTAAACGTTTTTATTACTATAAATAGAATATTTTCAGAATTTTAAAATGTTTATTCCATTTTTTCATTGCTTCTCTAGAAATATTGGCGAATGAGATGATACATTTTGATATGATCGTTGACGTTACTTTGAGGCTTTTAGTATAATAGTGAGTTTTAGTTAGAGGGATTCGAATAGCAAAGAAAAGACAAGCACAAAAATTTTGTTAATACTGAAATTTGGCTGACCATACAACGCTGTTCCGAGTATTGCCAAGTACTTATCATCAATTGTCCACTAATGGGATCACAATTTTCGTTTTATTCTTAAAACATGCATGCATTATGTTTATAATTTAACTGTGAAGCACTTCCAAGTTCAGTTTTTTGTGTTAAAAACATTAAAAAAAGATAATTGTCTATATTTTAATGCAATTATTGTTAATTTAACAATGATTGTTAATTTAATATTTGTGCCTTTAATAGTGTCATTTTATATATATGTTACTTTACGTATATATTGTTTTTAATTGTAATTTTATAAACCTTAAGTTAAGCTTTTTATTAAAAAATTAAGCACTGAAGATGTTCTAAAATAAAGAACGAAATATCTGCTTCTAAAATTTTTAAATAAAAGCGTTTTATTGTGGTTTGTCTGATAGCTGATAAAATTTTTCAACTTAAATAATACGAAACCAGATGATAAACAAACTTAATCATGAAAAGGTAAAGCCGTAAAATAACTTAAAAATCAGAAAAAAATATCTTCATTGCGATTTTCAGTTCTACCGCAGTATTTGTGACATAAATACACGTATAGGCAAAAATAGTTTTTATAAATATCG